TTGGAAGTCACAATGCTAATGAGCCATCACAAAATTTAGTAACTGTATAAGGTACAAGGGATAACAATGGCAAGGCCCAGAGTAGCAGGAATAATTCATTAAGAAGACAAATCAATAAAGTTTAGATGAGAAATATGATTTAGAGAAGTAGCTAGGCAACATCTCAAAGCTAATAACCCAAGAGGTAAAAGGAAAAGGTGGTACAGAGTTTTCAAAATATCTTAGGGTTATATGAAAGGCTGACAGCAGAAGCATACAAACAAGTGGTCTAATTGCCAAATGAGAAATGTTGGCTACTACAAGAATCACTACAATGAGCCGATACATGATCTGGTACGAGAACAAGACTATGTATTAGTATTGATTGTAATGTTTAGGTAATGGCATATGTTCATTGTTGTGTATCAGTCAGAAGTTGGAAGTAAAGCATGTTGTCAGAAATGCATACCATCATTCACTGTCATTCTACATGTAAGAGGTAATAAGTGATAAGGCACCATTTAACTATATTTTAAATATTCTGAAGAATTTTTTTCAGCATTAAAAAAATGGGAATTACTTAGGAGTAGGGTATAAACTGAAATCTTTTTTGGAACCAAAACAAGAATTTCCCCAAATGCCTCTGTTCTGAAGGAAACCAAGTATCTCTCTTGGAAAATTCTTGGAGTGAAGATAAAGTGCTAACAACTAGCTATAACTTCCTAGGGGATGATTCATCCAGAACATTATAAAAAATGCATCATGATCCCAAACTGCTCTTACATGGGGGCTACTCAGATTCTGGCAAAAGAAAGAATAATGTGATGAACCCTAGGCTTGGGATGGTCCCAGCAAGCAAACAACTTTGAACCACAGTAAAATTGTTTATGCCTTTTAAAAGACAATGCACAGCAATACTACATTTCATTGCGGGGAGTGGGGTGGGCATTATAGCATGAGAGCTGAAAAGGCTGGAATTAGAAGTGTAGCCTCTGGAGGAATATTTGCTGATACCTTCACAGGAAGCCCCCCATTTGGGGGCCTGATATGTTTTGTCACCCTATTTAAATTACATTAGAAACTCAAATTCCTTTTTGTATTAACAGTCCTCACCTTAAGAGTTCTATCTGTAGAACAGGCAAATTCCTCCTTTGACTTATCCTACAGGCTGCCTTCTGAGAGTCAGAAGAGAACAACCAACTTCGATCATTTGAACATGGAGCATCCACTAACACCTAGCGAGAAAAAAGGACAAATGATGCAAATATACAGTGACAGTATATTCTTAGGCACAAAGAGATAGAGAAGCCATGTAAAACGTGACAAATAGCAAATAAATAAAAACATTTCTTTTGAAACTGAAAATATACCACAGTACTTTTTTTTCTTTAAATATCTGTTCAGCAGTCTAGTGGTACAGTCTTTATTACATTTTTCCTCAGTAACACTTTTCAGAAAATTTTCCTATTTATTTTCTGGTTTAGTTTTTTTTTTTCTTTTTTGGAGGGGGGATAGGAGAATTAAAGTCTACTTATGTCTATTAATGATATTTCATATTCTTGACGACTGCAGCAAAAACTTTTACAAAAGTTACTCTTTGTAAAACTGCCATTACTGTATTTCTGAATTCTCAGCATTTATTTTAAGAACTAGTATTTCAATTTCAGTTGACTAAAATGACCTCTTTTTCTTCTCATATAAAATGTTACTGAATTAAAGCAACACAGTGCACATGTTTGTGTACTGACCCAAATAACACCTGATCTTTACCTGAGTACCCAGAAATATAAAACATTATATAATCCCCAATACCGATGTTACCACTTCCTTTGTACCATGCTGACCATCAAATGAAAACTGCTTCCATGTTCACTTTATCAAAATTTCCCAGAGTACTGAGAAACTGTATCAGGCTATGTCTGGGAGCAGATGGAAACTAATAACACGGCAACAGAATTAGTGGTATTATTGGGAGTCCGTCGGTTTGTCACAATTCAGTGGAAGTACCTTGTCAAATGTTTCAGGCTGGGCATCTCCCATTTCTCTGCCATCCAATTCAGACACTTTAATTGCATTTATCAAAGGCTGTGGGATGAAAGATTCTAATGTCTGCCTCAGCCACCTCAATCTCAGACTATCGTATTCATTACAATGAAGATAACCTAAATATAAAGAATTAAAAAGTTTCAGATGAAGGCAATAGAGATATTAAATTTCTACTTTTCAGAAAATAAATTTCAGAAAGACATCAATCAATTCATAATTATGCAGAAATAGGCCTCAGAGGTAAACATTATAATTATCTTCTGCTTTAAAAACAGAAATATATATATTTATACACACACACACACACACACACACTGCATAAAATATTTACAATAGTCATGCCTACACGGCTTCTCAGAAGCTCTCAGCATTTGCTCGATCAAGTTTAATTTTGGAGGTGAAGCCTACAAGGATCATGAATCTGTAAAGATATGCTATCTAATCAACGCCTCAGACACAGTTCTCACCCTACAGCACTAACTCTTAAGAGCAAAGAACAATACAGTGTAT